CCGGGTTTTAAAGGTACGGCAGAACACAAGCACGAACACGAAATTAACTAACCCGAAGAAAAACACGACTCGTGCGAATCTCTAGTTATTTAAATGTTGAGGGCGAGCTTGGGTCCGTAAAGCTGGTTTTCCACATCCAGATTTAGGTCCAATCCTGGCTTTCTTACATATTTTTAAGTGATTTGTACAATTTTTAAAATTAGCCTTGAAAACAATGCGCATTTATAAGAACTTTATTGAACTTCCTTCATTTTGTAAGTCTTCCTCTTGCATGACTTTGCACTTTGAAGCGTTCAATTTGCTTATGCGAAATTAACCACAAAACTGCGATAAGCACGCGCCTTTTTCTCACACGGCTATTCAAATTAAAATTAGCATAATACCAGACGAAGCCAATGTAATTTTCCATGGAAAATATAACAAATGGCCAGCCGTATTTTTCCCTATTTCATTATTTTTCATTGTAGGGCTTAAGTGAACCGCTGCGAAATTTATTGATTTAAACTTTTAGCTGCTCGTACATTCGACATTTTGTTATTCAAACAAGCCCCCAGCGCCTCCGAACGACGACTATTAACGGCTGCCACTTGATGATACTTCATTGTTACAGCAACTCAGCCATGAGGAGGACGCATCTGCATCTTGTCTTGGACTAGCACGGCGATTATTTGTTGACGCTTGACTGTCTGGCTGGCATGTAAATCTACTTTTGTATGCAAATTAAGTGACTCAATCAACAATCAACAAAAATTTCATATAAATGTTTGAAAGGGATCGATTGAGTGCTACCCTATGATAAATTGCAGTTACCTCATGTACCTTACTTAAGTTTGAAGATGATTTCATGCTGAACATTGACAATCTTATAAAATTAGTATATAACTATATGTTTTAATATTTTATATGTACATTTTTATAAGATTCTTAGTCAAGTTGATATCACGCATCTCCAAGATTCCCACACATTTTTACACATTTCTTACAGGGTATAGACAGTGTAAAAGAGGAACTTCACAGCCGCCAGCTGCGCTCGGGGACAGTTAAAAATAAAAAATAAAATATCAGCGACCAAGGCATCATAATCATGTGGGTCTTCGTGTGGCTGGGCGACCACAATGGCCCATAGCAGCCCACTTAGCAGCTTCCAATGGTTCGAACAGGCCCGCACACCCGGAGACCCCACAGCATCGATGTATGTGCATATGTGTACATATGTGTATATAATTGAGAGGTGTTTAATCGTGTGTTTCGCTTTTTGTTTTTCTGCACATTCACGACCTATGGCGAGACAAGATTTACCTTTCCTCAACCATTGCCTGTGCTCCACTGTCGATCGCTGTTTGCTCTCAAATTATCATAAGCAAATACGGCCCAAACCATACCCGGGACCCAGACTGAGACAGAGCCTGAGTTTGACTGTTTCGACTTTACGCGCTTCAGACTTCAAGCTAAGTGCTAAAGTTGCTGGCGACGCGACGCGCTGAGAGGCGCTTCTGTTGTGTAGACACTTCAGTTATTACATATTATACATATATTCAAAATTCAAGTGCTACTGGAGAGTAGTTTTTTTTCTGCTTCTTATTTTGGCTGGCATTCTTCAACATCATTCACAGTCTCTGGGAGCGAAAGAATCTGCATGAATTTATATCTACATAACTGTGTATTTATATTTTTTCGACAATATATTTGTTTGTTTACCTTCGCTGCTCATTGAGCCGGCACTTGGCCGGTGTTGTTGTTGTTGAATGATTCGAAATGTGCGTGTTAAAGGTATGTGTAACAACAAGATCGTTCGTCGATTTGAATGTGATCAACAGCTTGCCTAATCAGCATGCTAGTCATGAGTTTGCCATTCCTGTTTTAATTATTAAAACAATTCATTAATATGCATTTTTTTGGTCTAAAGTTCAATGGCCACGCGCTGTGAGCGTTGACATCAAAGCCAAGTCAACAGATTGCCGACAAAGAGCCCAAACAAAGGGCCAAGCCAAGCAAGAAAATCAGACCCAAACTCTGAGTCTGAATCTAAATCTAAATCCATATCCGAATCCGAGCCAAGTCGAAGTCCAAGTCCAGTAGTCAAGAAATCATTTCGCCTGATAAAAACATCCATTATGCGTAACAATTTGACGGCTTCTCTGGCTACCTTATTTTTTCGACATTGTGTCGGCATTTTGGCTTTGATTGAGTAGCTGACCGTCTAGCCGCGGGGTAATTGTTGTCGCACAATCTCTCTGTCTCAGTCACTGTCTCTGTCTCTTTCCTTGGTCCATGAGTGCGCAATTACAATGCTCGAAGTCTGATAAAAGAACGAAACGTCGAGCAAACCTTCTAAAAACATGTTTGACGTCAAATAGGAAATGCCTTAATCTCTTACAGCACAACGTCACAACACAGCCGACGCCATCCATCCCGATGCCATACCGATGCCATCTCCTGCCCCAACTGCCCAAGTTCTCCATTATCTTGACTGGTGTTGGACATTTGTTTGAGCTGGCCAATGCCTTTGGGTGTACACGAGCAGTTGTATTCATTTGCCCAGCCAGCACGTCTTTTACTCTTATTTGACTAGCTCGCTGTTCCATGTGTATATCTCGTTTTTTTATTATTTCGTTTTTCGTTTTTCGTTTTTTTTTTTAATGTGTACTTATGGCACTAGTCACTAGTTGACACTTGTTGCCTCAGTGCCCGCTGCTGTGGCTGTTGTTGATTGCTTTAATGGCGTCAAGACTTTCGCTTTTATGGAGCACTTACTTCCACGAACCGTATCTGTGTGCATTAGCTGGAACCTGATTCTCAACCAAAAATTTTTGTATTATGTCTAAATAAATATTTTAGAGGAATTATTTCAAGAAAATGCATAACCATATACAAATATTAATATCTGTGGCAAGAAAAGTTGGGTAGTATATTGTTATTCGCAAATTTTGCTAGAATTCCTTTTCGATTACTTAAATTCTGGACTATACTGTCTATTTAACGTTAGGGCTTACGTTAAACGGTTATTATTCAAAATATGGAAGGCTATGTTTATGCTAGCAGTAGCATAGTTTCTTTAAACCAAATCTTTATTGTTGGCATTCAACAGCAAACAATCTTAATCTGCTAAGAAACTAGACAAGAATCTGGCGACACAAGACGAAGAAAGCCTAGAAGCCACCGATACCAACCAGCCCAGACTCACGAGCATATAGAAGTCGACAAATAATAACATGTTACCACTCGAGAGTCATAGACCATAGGATACCCAGTAAATTGCTTTCTAAATTAAACGCTGAACAGATTTGTTTTGTATGTCCAGAGTTTTCTTAAATAGTAAGTTGCCTGCTTCTAAGGAGGGTGATATTATATCTCGAGGCAATGAAAGATACAGTTAATTGATTTTGCTTATAATTCTCAAACGGTTTAGCCTTGATGTTGCAATCAAAGCGTTCATGCTATAGAGAATTACTCTGCCAATGGATGGTTTGCACCAGTCGTAAGTTCCATTTTATAGTCTGCATATTAGTTCCTTAACTCTTATATATACCCTGCTTTTAAATAGTTTACGGGGTATAACAAATATGGCGCAAAGTCAACAGGCGCACGGCCATTATTCGAAGCGAGAACAATTTGTGCCACCACTGCAATCGGTCTTTGTCTAACTAACGCGAGAGTCTCCTGTTCAGAATCTCATGTAAGGCGTCAAAAGCTTAAATATTTACAATTAGCCCAAAAGAAAAACACACACAAACACACACAACCACGCACTGGAAAACACAATCAGGCAAGAAGTTAAACGAGATAGAGCGAAAGCATAAAAATATTTGTTAAAAAGCAAATAAATTGCGGGAGATAAAGATCTAATTTTGATTAAAATTTAAGCTTTTTCACAACCTGAGCAGCTACCGGGCAAAAGCGACCAGGTACACAAGAGAGAGAGAGAGAGAGAGAAGCGAGAAACGATCTCAGCTAAGTTAAACAGACTCAAAGAAGAAATTATAAGATGTCGCATTGGGAATTTATGTTTGGCTTTTTCGTTGACAACGCACACAAAGACAAGAGACAAGAGACAACGGTTGAAACATTTAATAAATTAACCTCTGGGACACGCTCTTCCTTATCGCTATCTGTGGCTCTGGAGAGCGAAGTCGCACAGCATGTTGTTTTATTTTATTTAGGTTTTTTTTTTGTATAATTTTCATAGACTTTTAGTTGCTATATATGGCAAACAATACGGTACTTTTAACACCAAAAACAGGGCCGCTCGAACAAAGGCCAAGACAGCACAGAAGCGACAGACGCGTAGCTGCCGTTCGAGCAGCAGCTGGCCTTTAGCTACAGATACATGTTTACTAGCTGGAGATACATTTCAGCTACGGACACAGATATAGATACAGATACAGATACAGATGCAGAGGAAACACATTTGCATATGAATGTGGCAATGATTACAAATTTCGCTCGTAAAAATGTTTCGTTTGTTTTTAGTTTTACCTTTTTTTCGGAGGCATAATTAACTATGGATCGATTCCGTATGCGTTGCGGTTGCGGCAATTTACAGGCTTGTTGTTGTAACTGATTGCGAGATACGATCTTGTATCGGTTTTTATGTATATAAATATATATAAATATATTTACGTATGTCGGGGAGTACCCTGTACGCATGCCTAGTGCCTGATGTCTGTTAAATGAGCAGCCGCACAATGTCAATGGACTTTGGTGGGAAAGTGTTGAGTCGTTTGCATTATGCAGATTAAGCTATTTTTTATTGAATGAACTAAAGCTGAAACCGAACCTTTCACAGCCAATTAAAAGCGGCTAACAAGATCGAGCTGTTCCCAGATAAGCAACAAGCTTACTGCATAGTTAATAGATTAGCCACGCATGATTCCCAGCTTCACCTTCGGATCACGCCCACTGAGGGACCAGCACAGGATCACACGCACCTCAGCTGATTCCGTGTATTTGTGATCTACAGCAACGATCCTACCAGCCTCCCGTCGCAGTCTCGTTCCTCGTTCCTCGTTTTGTGTTTATTATGGCGCGTTTCGTTAATTTCTTGGCGCCATCATCATCGTCTCCGTCTCCGTCCCAGGCATCTCTCGCTCCTTTGCTGCGTCATAAAATTAAAACTCTTCACTCCATCATTTTTCGTGTGCGAGTGCAACATTTGACAGGTAAACGTCTGGGAAAAAAAAATAACTTACCGACTGACCGCCCGGTTATCGCAGCCGCGCCCTGCTGCCTGAATCTTTGCATACACGGCCTAAAGAATTCTAAATGCTCTCGAAAAGCAGCTAAACAAATAGATGCTTCCACTTTTATCATTACAAATTTGAAACAAATAAAAATGAAAATGTTACTGATATTATATATTATATATATATATATTATATATAAGAATACAAAAATACAGAATAAATTGTTCGACATAAATGTCATATTTAAGGAGTAAGAGCTTGCTTATAAGTATATATATTTTTTCTTATATTTTCTTCATTATTTTGTTGAAGGGTATGTAGAAATCGGAGTCACAATAAAATTAGTTTTATAATAAATTAAAAAAATATTTTTTCTCAGCCTTTTGTGTGTTGCTGTTGATGTGCAGTTAGCCATATTTTTGACAGATTTATTAGGCAATATTAATTTTTTATATGCGCCGAAGAATGTGGCATGGGAGCTGCCATTATCACCTGCACGCTTCGAGGTGGAACCCTGTCCGTCCTGCCCGTGTCTGCTGTAGGTCAGAAACATACGCCCAAATAGCATTAAGTCAATGTTTGTCCAAGCAGTACAAGTAAAGTGCAGTTTAGCATATCAGAGAGCAGCACATACTACCATCCAGATATTCAGTTATCCAGATCCCGAAGAGAGCGATTCTTTCATTTTAGTCGCAGTTTATTTGCCTTTGTTGAGCGGTGGGTCGAACGTGTGAAAATGCATTTGCATATTCAATCAGCGGCACAATAAATACGACTATACGAATGCTACATACGAATTCATATAGAGTCGTTAAACAACATTTACATACGAAAATAACAAAATATTCAACAGCGGCCGCAGACGAATTGACTGGCAGCATTCGGATCGTTCGACAATTTCAGCCCGTGACTTTTGCATTCAAATTGAAAGTGTCAATACTTGGAAGCGCTTCTGGAGACGCAGCGACCCATAAACTTGAAGCCAAAATTCAAAACACAAACTCAAAGCAAAACGAGAAAAAGCTAAGAAAAAACAAAAGTGCTCAAGGCAGGAATACCAGATTGATAGATACCCAGTATCCAGCAACGAGGGCCATAACAAACATTTGTCCTCCAATACATACATCCATACACACTAACATGCACGCTGTTCTCTTCCTTTCATGAGCCTCACAGTATAGGAAATGCATTCTTAAGAAACATCGATGCTTATAGTCCGATCTTAATGAGATTTTCGGGGCTTAAATAGCGCACTCAACTGTGTGCATATGCTAAAGCGCACCTTAAATTAATAATATGTTGTTATATTTCAAAGGAGATTGGAGGTAGGTATCCAGAAAGTGTTATATACTTTAGGTCTGTAATAATATACAAGAATCTACACAACAACTGTATGAAAATATTCTAAATATCCTTCAAAATATTTATCGAAAATTAAAAAAAATTTTAAAATAGTGTCCTATATAAAAATGGTTGTTTGACTGGCTTTTGAACCATATACGATAAAAGATATTTGTATGTTCAAGATAGATATGTCTAAACTTATAATACACACATTTTCACAATACTGTTATACCCTGTCTTGTCCATTTTTAAAAATAACAGGGTATAAGAAAACAAATTAAAACTAATGCTCTTATGTGCGATCTGTTAATAGTCACAATGACTAGGCAAAGGCGGCGAAAAATATTTGCGTGGGTAGGTGGAATATTTTCATATCATGCTTTTGGTCTATTTTCGAACCAAATTTGTACTAAAATTAACAGGTTGTCCAATTTGGCAAGTCCAACTAAAAATACGCCTGCTTCTGGTCTTAAAATTTACATTATGCGGCGGCTCGAGCTTATCTATGCCGAGTGTCTCTGTTGTTGGAAACGTGGCGCCACACTTTGCCGCACAGTTGACATTTCTGGGCACACGCTGAAGCGCTTCTCCACCTCCCCCTCCTCGTTGCTGCGCTTGTGGCAGTTGCACTCACTTTCGGTTTCCGCTCTCATTGCAGATAAGCGCCAATCAGAGCGAGCTGCCAGTTGCCAGTTGCAGTTGCAGCTGCAGGGGCACGGAGACTTATCATGCGGCATGTCCCGTGCCGCGCTCTAATGCAAAACTATAAAAACAAATTATGAGCGATACGCTAAATCAACGAAGTGCATTTAGGCGCTGCCCGCCTCGGGGGCAGCAACAATCGACAACCGAATCTTTTTGGGAGGTACGTGGCACATTCGACTTAATGAAAATGTTGGCACCACAAGTCAAGTGTTTCGAGGCGCAGCCAAGCGCATCCACACACACTCGCACACACACGCATTTCCACACACACTCAAGCTGCCGCCGCTTGCAGCACGCAAGTGAAAAATGTTGGCGCCAGGCGCCACTAAAAAATCTTATGAATGAAGTAGACACATTTTTTTGTGGCTGCTGTGTGTTGTACGTGTGTATGCCCCCCGCTTGCCCCGTTTGCCACCAGCCCACACTGCCTTTATTTGTTTGGTGTGCGGCTGAAGCGTTGAACGGAATCGCGTTTGAAGTGCGTAGACACCACTCTGGGTCTCTTGGTGTCTCCGCCTGTCTTCTGCTATTATAATAATTTTCTTAGAAAGTTCTGGCATTTATTAAGTTATTAAAATTAAATTAGAGGCTACTTAACAGAATTCCACAGATTCTTTGCTAATTATTATATTCGTTTCCCTTAAAACTCCAGATAAGCTTACCAAATATTCAAGAAAAGTGGAAATCAAGGATAGAAGGAGGGGCAATAAAAGGGACAATCCTTCGCTTAGGTTTTAATCAAGAAATTAAATCTGAACATTGTTTTATTTTTAAATACATCCCAAAATAAAAAAATAAACAAAAAAGCTTGATTTTCGGGTATACTTATACAACTTCATATTGTTCCGTTTGTTTAGCTATGTGACATTTTGATCCGATGCGGCCGATTCCGACAAATGTTCCGCCTGCAAAAAAAAGTAGAACATATGCATATCATAAATGACCATTGTTGATATGAGCTGAATATACATAAGTATATACCTTAAAGAGTCGTAAGGATCTTCTACTAGGTATCCATTTCGTGACTGATGTGTATTACTTTCTGCAATGGTATAAGAATTTTAAGTAAGCTTCTCGAAAATCAGATTCACTTACCCAAAAATAAGATGTGGCGTGCCTCAGCCTAAGTTGGCTCTTGGTGTGCCTTTTCCAAGGTACGTTCATGTGTAGCTGAAAATAAAAGTTAGATTTAATTAAATTCTCAGAAATCATATTAATATCAATATATCATTGACCTAACCATTTTTTGTCATATATTATATATTAAAGGTTTTTAATTAATTTGTTAGCATACTGCAATAATAAATCTAAGCTTCATACTATATATTTAATAATAATATGCTTCACATAAAGTGCTTGGTGCTAGCCACAGTTGACATGTTTGGTAAAAATTCGTAGTATGCATTTGTGGATAATTATAATTGTTGTCTCACGACAGCCCTTTATCAATTGCATTTATTAGGGACTTTCCAGGCGCAGTTTCGGGCTACCTGTAGACGGAGCAGCAGCAGCAGCCGCAGCTCAAGAAGCGCGCGATCCTTATTAAATCCACGTACTAAGAGCATTAATCACCATTTTCACGCGACGCGCCTGTCGCTCCGTTGGGCCGTGTTAGAGCTCGGATAGGGAAGGGGGCAGGCGAGCGAAAGAGATGAGCCCGAGGCGTCCGCGTTGTGGTGCCTGCGGCGAGTGCTTCCTGGAAAAGTGCAGCGCCTGCGCCGCCGCCGCGTGTTGACTAATGACGCGCATTTAGCAGCGATTAATGCGTTTTATGAGCCACCATAATTTTATGGCACATCAACTGGCCGGTGGCTAGGAAATTCCAGCGAATTTCCCAGCGGCCAGGCCATTGAAGAGACTGAGTCCGAGACGGTGATAGGAAAATGGAAAGCTGCAGTCTGCGGTTTTATTATCCTACCTGTTGTCCGGATGGCACCGGCGTTACGCGTACAATGCCAAGGTACTTGAGATTTTATGGCCATGCACACGCACAGGCTGAGGCACAGGCAGAGGCGGCATCCTCATTGTATGTGTCTATTGAAAAGTATTCAAATGTATTCAGATGCTAATCAAGTGCTTGGGCCGGTTGTGCGCCCTTAGGTTTGAATAGGGCGTTTGTATGACAGCTAATGTCTCGCATAATAGAAATCACCTACTTAAAAATCAAGTGCAAATTGTCCGAGTGCTTGGCGAACCAAACCGAAACCCACTTGAGACTAACTGGCGGACCTGGCTCTCGGCTGAAGTACATATGTCGCCGGGCACGTAATCCTTGTATAATTGAAACAAAATGCAATTTGTTTTTACAGTTTGTCGCAGCCTTTAAGATCCCATTTTGGGTTTGTTTTCATTTCTCAACAAGAGATACGAGTCTGCCGTTTGTTGTTTTCCACAAAGATTTGCTCAAAGGATTTGCCTTTCTTGCAGCGCTCCCTTCGAACTGTCGGAAACTTCTGTGTGGCTCCGGATCTCTTGTAGTACATGTGTGTGCAGTCTCTTTTGGTTTATTTTTACTGCTGCTTAAACAATTTTCGCTTAAATTGTTTGTGGCAAATGGGATTTGGGTTTACCACAAGAGGTTTGGTTAAAGGATAACAATCATTTTGCCATTGTTGACATTTTTTTGGATCATTGTTCAAACGAGGGGGACAATCAAAGGAATGTTGTCATCTGTTTGTCAATCTGTTTACTTTCGTAATGGAGCTGCCCAAAACAGCTGCCAGAGATCCCAGTTTTGATCTAAACAGGAGCGAGTAATATCCATTTAATAAGGCTAAGGATCTGGTATTTCATGAGGGATGTTGCGAAATATCAATGATATATAAGATTTATGACTAATATTTTTTAATAATTAATATAGTTAAATTAAACTCTTATTAAAAAAAGTTTTGACCATAAGTGGATTGAGCTTAGATGAAGATCTATCATAAATAAATTTATGCAGCAATTATTTTGTGTGTCGATTATTTTTAGTTCATGACGTTTGTTTCGGTTCCTGTTCAAAATTTAGATAGTTGATACTTTTTAGACAATAAATGGTATGGAAAATTCACAATTTGTTTTAGTTTTATTATTTTCTTTCTATTGAAAATTCTGGAAAATGCTTGGAAAATGTAGATAATTGGCATAAAAGATATCCTTGAACCAATCAAAAAATACCAGTTGATATGTCCAGTTCCCGACCCAGGTTTCGCAAATCCCGAAACCTCAGTTTTGGTTCAAATCTTGAAGAACAATATCTAACTAAAAATGGAGATTAGATTACTGCAATGGCTTGAATCTTTTTTATGTAAGCTTTTTTAATTGAGCCCAAATATGGTCGGTTCGGGTTCTGGCTAGGTTTTTCGTTTAATATCTTTCGATTTTGTAGCAAAGAGTGACTCCAGCAAAGACTATTAAAATTTTTCAATGTAATTAAAATTCTCGCACACATTGGAAGCTGGTAGTTGAAATTTTCCCAGTCCAGGCACTTTTTACCCATGATAATCACGCCCGCTCAGTTTTTTTGGGTAATGCATATTCACATCTATTCGGCATACCACAAACGATTATCTGCATCGAAGCACACTCATCGAAACTCGGCATCGTCCTCTACTTTGGGCACTGACTGGACAGAGACAGCAGCCGAACAATGGAAGCGGTTAAAGTACAAAGCATCGCACTTTATTAACTACTTGAGATTAAGGCTGATAAAGAGATAATCCCCGACGGTCGGCAACTAAACTCAAAGTGCACCGCATACTCCTACAACGCATGGAGAGAGAGAGAGAGATCCAGAGCCAATGCCAGAGCCAGAACCAGGTTGAGGGTACCGGGTACATGTTCCAACATTTCGGTAGCTGTGCCAGTGTAATAAGCATAACAATATCGTTGTCCGCCCAATTGACAAGCCTGGCCGTGGTCTCTGCCGAGGTCGAGGCGGCTGTGTTATCTGGAGCGCTGCCGTGTAAAATGGATCACAGGTACTGCTGCCGCTCAGGTGAGATCAATAGCAGCCAGCCAAAGACATGGATGAGGCTTATCGCTTGTGTTGACGAGACACCGCCTCGGAGAGCATCATCCGAGCCATCCACGCACACACGTCACTGCACTTTCGCTTGGCATCTCGTCTCATCTCATCATTCCGTCAGTCCGTCATCTCGTCATCCCGTCATCGTCATCGCCATCGCCATTTACTCACAACTCGCTATCTGGCGCAGCTGCCTTTGATCAGTGTAGCGTAATTTTAAGCCAAATTGGGCAGCCTTTTGGTTCTGCCGCGTTGCCTCCGGGCATGGGCTCGGGCTCATGCTGGGCTCTATTTGTTGTCTCCTGGTTGCTGTTTGGTGCCAATGTCCGGGGTCCTTTGGCGTTGGGCTGCCGCACTTTCTCAATGCTTTAGTGTGAAGTTGTAACATCTTTTAGTTAGGGTGCTTCTAATTTCTCTTCTGTTTTCTGCTCTTTTGAGGCGTGGAGCTACTGCTGTGTAATGGGATTTGCCATCGATCTATTGTCTCTTCGCATATTTTTTTACAATTTGTTTTTCTCAACATGTTTTGCAGAGCGCAAAATGGAACCCATTTGTGATTTTTTTTTAGCAGTTCGTATTTGTAAGAGTTCTAATGATCTAGGAATAAAGAACAGATTTTTGTAGCATTCATAAGTTAGTTAAGTACGATATTAATTTGATTATGTGTTTTGGGATTTTACCAATCTGTTTTCTAACTATAAATCGCTTTCAGTCAGATGTATCTTAGACTGGACAGAGCTTGACTTGGATCAGCGAACTGCTGAAAATGTTGCCCCAGCTCTTCGTTCGTTTGCGAAAGACCAAATGAGGCATGACAACGCTTCAAGTGTTTATGCAAATGCATTTTAACACCTTGCTGCACAAATATTATCTAACTGCTCACAATAATATTGATAATTTTTATAAATGCCACAAGAGGTGCAATAGGTGGGGAGGGAGTGGAGGATGAGCTGCAGGTGAAGATGGAGAACCACGGCAACAACTAATTTCAATAGACGTAACCGTGGGGCAAACGTGAGGCGTAAATTAATTCTATTGAAGTCGCTTTCAGTTCCATGAAACGGCAGCCGGCAGCCGGGAGCAGAGACAACAGCAACGACATCCAACGGATCGCAACTGAAGCTCTGAGCAAACACATCCATTGGCCGTGCAATGCGGGTAGCTTGGAAAAAAAGTGTTGAATCTGTTGCTGCTGCTGTTTCTGTTTCTGTTTCTGTTGCTCGGTTTGTTTACTTGTTTGCAACTTGGATGACCGAGTCGTGGATGCGGCTGTTGTACGCAGCCGGGCCAAGCTCATTATGCGATCGCGTTAAGCTGTGAAATTTATTGTTTGTCTAGCCATAATAGGGGGGCAACAGCAGCAGCAGCATCAACAGCAGCAGCAGCAGTTAAAGTTACGGGTCTCTAATCTCCGACTATTGACAAAAACTCAATACCAGTAGTTGTTGGCAGTTCGCATTGGCATTTATGAATTATGGAAATGGTAACTACGCTTAGAAGACGCCACTTCATGCTGGTCTGTGCCAGCTTCAGCTTCAGCTTTGGACTCAGACTCGGACTCGGACTCTTCAGGCGAACAAATGTTTTATTAATGAAACGTTGATCATCAGCTCCGTTTGTTTGGTGTGGGCAGCAGCTACGTTGGCGAGTCTCTAAGCGAGACAAATTACCACATTTCAACACATACTCAAAACTGGCGCTGGCCCTGCCCCCTACAGCCCCATGTAAACGGCTGGGGATGTGCCTCAGACAGGGGACTGGCACTGGGTCTCGATCTGGGATCTGGGACTGCGTCTGGGCTTGAACCAAGTGGCCCTTTTGGCGCCCATTGCAATTGTGTGGCATCGCCTGTTGTTGTTGTTGTTGTTTGTGGCTTCTCTCGTTCGGTGGTCATTAATAAAAATGTTTTTGTTGCTTTGGGTTAACTCCCATAAGCCATAAGAAAAACAAACAAATGGACAGGCGATCGTTGGATAGTTGACTGCCTGGACTGGTGGGCCAGGCACATATAACATATATATACACATATGCACAGACCCCTACTTTAGGTCAAATAAGCCAAGTCAGCGACGTGAGCATGAATCAACCTGTCAAAAGTCTCGTTAACGCCAACAGCACCGATTTTCGTTTTCGGCCTTCTTATTTTTCGACAGGGCCATAACGAAC